TACTGGACACATTAATACTGTGGCAGCGTGCCACCTGCTTCATTTATTCACTTGAGATTCAATGCTGCTTAGTCCCTGTCAAATGGGCTCTTTGTGCAACCTCCCGCGGTAATGTAAAAGGTCCCCCACAGGAATTTGTGCTATTCAGTAGAAAATACAAGAGGGAGGTTGTAAACACTCCGATTAGTGTTGGAGCACACATATATTGTCTCCACAACATATTACATAATCACACAACTCCCAGTTTACCTCCTTCCTCTCCAGAAGAAACAGTTTAACAGCAAGGACTTACGGGTTTATTTAACTTAACATTGCCGCTCGTGTTTTTTTGTTATACAAAAGCTGCGTTACTTCTGGCAAAAGAAGAGAGAAAGGTTACTTCAGTAACATCCTGTAGTAATCTGAGATGATTGCTGGTGAGGATCTCCACTTGAACTGACAGCCACCAGAGGCTCTCAAGTCTGAAGAGTAATTATTATCAGAGGCTGTTGCCAACCCAAGTTCACACGCAATGGACCCATCAGCTAATGAACCCAGAATGAATCTTCTCCCATTGTTTGAAGACAAACAAGTGATTGTGTGCAGTGCTGACTATACCAATTTACAGCCATGTGAAATACATTTGGATGACTTCTGACTTAGAAAACTTATTGTAGTCTGAGACCTGCTTAAACAGACCCAGGCACTTTCTTTTACCCTCCATGCCCCACATTCACTCTGTAAACTCTTACAAGTTTTAAGGACAAAGTCAAGCAAGGATTCTGAGGTGGCAAGCTCCCTGCTTTGAAATTCAGTCTTGCTGATGTACCTGAGACTCATAAATGTAATAAAATAATAATGGAGGGGAGCTTTAGAAAGCATTTTGTCAGAGAAAAAAAAAGGAGAAAAGGCAGAGGTATGTTAATAAACAAATAATTCCTTCCCATTCCCTCTCAGTTATACTGCTACTTCCAGAAAGCCAGTTCGGGGGTTGAGTTTATCTTGGAGAGATGGGAGTCTGCATGGGCTGTACTATTCTGGGATAGCTTTAGACACACTACATAATTCTCATTAGCAATAAAGGAGTACAGTGCAGTCATGAAGAGGTGTAGCTTATGAAAGAAACTGGTTGGCCACAGATGGAAACACATGAGAAAATGAGAGCCTGAATATACAAAGGAAAGCCTAGAAGAAGTAGATTAGTTAATGCCTTTGGGGGAAAAAAGTATGTTACTTCTAAGAGACACCACACAGCAGGAGAGCCAAAAGAGCTGTATGACACTGAACTCTGCCTACACAACTCCCATGAGCACTGCTATGGAGTCACATCATTCCAAGATCTCTGCACTAAGAAGAAAACTTAAAAATACTTAAGCAATGAAGAGGATATAAGAAAACTTGGGTCTTGGCAGCCTTAGATTTGTCTGAAAGGGATTTGCCTTGTTCCTTGCAACATTTTGTATCTGAGTATGCTTTCCTATGGGAGTAGCCCAATTTTTAATGGTTTACTGCTTGGTGAAAGATATCATGTCGAGAGCACGTGGCAAATCTTGGTACAGGTGTTTCTTTTGCAAAACCCAACAAACATTATGATCAGCAAAATATTAGGTTACATATCAACGCTCCTCTCCATGAGCATGAAGGAGTGCAGTGGCACAATGGCAGGCGGGGGAACCCCAATACAGTACCTAGAGAAACGAGCCCCTCCCTGGGCTGTCCTGTGACACCCATCACTGAGTTACGGGGGTTACTGCCTACAGGAGTACAGGACTCCTGGGGTGCTGGGGAAGAGCATTTTTGGATGGCACAAGATTATAGGATCTGTAGCAGAAGGAATGGGAAAGGGAGGGATCGAGGTTGTTTGGGGAGGAACAAAGATGGAGAAAAAGAGGGGTAAGAAGATAAAAGAGGCTGGTCAGCTGTAAACAGCTTGTCTGACCATGCCCTGCAGGTACCTCATCACCACAGTCTGTCCCGTCTTCTCCTGGGTGACAGGGTCTCCATGCTGTGTGCAGGGAGGTGTAAGTGCCAGCCACTGGAGAGGGGACCACGAACCCCAGGGGCCTGCGTGGCTCAGGGGTCTGCAGCTGGAGAGAGCGGAGCGTGTGTGTGTGTGTTGTGTGGGTCTGTGCGTCAGTGTGTGATTGCCTGCAAACATTGAGCCAGGTATCAAAGCAGCCATCATTTTGGGATGGATACTGGAGGCACCATAGATACGTTATTAGAGGTACAAACAGGTGTTCTTATATTTTAAGTGCTAGATGTGAAATCCATTAAATGTACTAAAAGCAAGCCACGCACCCTAAGAAATGACAGGAAAGCAATGTCACATTCTAGCCATTGTACTCACGCTCTCTGCATGTGTCAATGCTCCTGAAATCTAGGAACAAGAAGTACCTGTTGGGAAAAACAAACAAACAAACAAAAAACCCCAAACAAAAACCAAAACAACTAAACAAAAGCTTTTTCTACTTTTAGAGAAAGAATAACAAAAGGCCTTAAACCCCTTCTCAGTCAGAACCCCAACAGACTCGGGATTTGTATAATTTCTTACATGAATTCCCTTTTTTGCTTCCCTTTAAGTTCAATGATTTACAATTCTATCCTAAAGAACAGTGATAAAACTTGCTGATGCTTTACCTGGAGAAGCCTCCCAGCCAGAAAAGTTTTTAAAACATGTTCTTAAGTATTCTAAAGCACTTATGTAGGTGATGGTTTGCTGGTATCCAGACATAGGTGAAATAAGAGCCCCCCAAATAAATTATTTTTCTTGCAAAATGATTAAGACTAAATAAACAACTTTCCAAAATAGTTAGATTTGTCAGAAACAACATTTTAACTATTAACAAAATTCTGTTTTATTAATTTAAGAAAAGAACCTCAAAACTACAATTTTAGTTTTGGAAAAAAACTGCGGAAGAGTTAATTCTCTGTATTACTCCATCTGTCTAGATGAGTAACTTCTGTAATATACTTCCTGGTAACACCTGCCCTGAGAAAGTCTTGGGAAAGAAAACACATAAACCAGTAATGTCTTTTTATTAAAATACCTCTTTAAACACTCATCGTAATAAAATAAACTGGATGTTGCTGTATGGCATTTGCATACACGCACCACTTACAGCGAACTCCAGACAGCATCAGGAATTACAAAAAATAAGGTGAGCTGCATCCTCACTGCCTACTCCCAGGCCATTACACAGACAACTCTGTTTACATTTTTACGCCATTCCCCACAGTGTTTCCTGGAGACCTGTCAGGCCAGTCCCCCCTTCCCTCCTGCTCCTCACCCTTGCTGTTCCCTTGACTTGACCTCACAGTGAAATTCTGATGATGTAAATGGAGATGGTGTCACAGATCCATGGGGCAGCAGGTGCCTGACTAGAAACATCAGCCCTGTTTTTTTCCCCAAGCAGATTCTGAACTACCATAATGTTTCCAATAATTTAACACTGCAAGAATCCGAAGCATGCTGATGATCTGTAGCAATGCTTACTGTACATCTCCTCTCTTAGTCAAGAAACAATGATGCATCAGCCTCCAGTTAAAAACAGTCACAGCTACTCTAACGTATTATTTCTCTCCATTCATTTTAAGAAACTCAAGCAGAAGAAAAGATAATGTGAATTGTCAAATATAGGAAGAACAACTCCTTCATGACAAACTAAGTTTTTCTATTCATGTCTATGCTTTTTTTTATCACTTAATTGCAAGTTTAAAGTATGAATGTATTTCACTATCCACTACTTCAAAATAATAAAACATTGATCTTTCAAGTACTTCTTTAGAGCTGAAAAAGAGACTGAAGAAAGTAACGTTATTTCACAAGAGTAGATTTTATTATTATTATCATTTCATCTTATTGAAAGAACTGTATCATGAGAAAAAAAACATTTAGGCAAACTTTTCAACAAAATAAATTTAAAATGACTGCTTTCATTTGTACATGGTACAGATAAGACAGGTGTGACTAGAAAACAGTTTAATGCCTCTAGACTGAGGTTAGTGAGAGAAACATGAATAATAAATTTTTTTGTGTGTGCATATGCATATATGCATTTAAAAAAAATTCAAGAAGTTAAAACCCACATCATTATAAATACCAAAAGCTGATCATTAACTACTCATACACTTTATTCTTGTACTTAGTACCATTATCAATGGAGACCTAACTGGGTCATAGTAACTGCTATGTAACTGTCAACATATTAAAACTCATACTTAGAAATATGCACAGAATGTTCTAAACTCGGAACATCCTAATTTTGCCTTTGTGGATACATCTTCCCTTCTTCAGTGACAACATTTCATGGGGGAAAAAAAAATAAAATTATGTTTTGGAATAAATATTCACAGCAAACTACTACTATGGGAACATGCCTGCTGCCAACTGCTCAACTGGTAGCCCTGTACCACTTGCTAGTTCATCTCATTTCATTCTTTATTCATTTAGTCATTAAATCCATAATAGCCTTTCATGTTTCCTTTACTGGACTGAACATTCAGGGTGTAATCCCTAGAGAATAGTGCAAAAAGAGGGAGATGCAACTGCACTTAATAGCTTTATTTTGGTGTCTAAGAGAAGACTGAAATGATTTATCTATTTTTTTTAATACATAAATCATGCAACCTAGACCCCAATGTACTTATGAGAGCAGGGCAAATGAAACTTGGAAGAAAAGTGTCCCATACATAGTGTTTTGTTGGGCAGCCCTTCTAAGAAGTTAGGATTTTATCCATGACAGCCCATACATTGAACTTGAAGAGAAAGCATGAATTTTCCCCAAATATCATTTTCACAACAGAAGGCTAAGCTCAAAAACTGGAAGTTAAAATTAAAAAACAAAACCAGAAACTAAAACAAAAAAACCAGCCCCTAAAGAACAACCACCCCCCCTCCAACCTAGCAGCCATTTAATTATTTGTTGAACTTAGATGATGGAAATCTCATTACCATATTCTTAAGGTTTCCCTACTCTAAACTACAAGATATAGTACTACAGTCTGAAAAACAGTACAGTCAATACTTTCAAATCAAAGGAAAACAATCAGAACAGCAAGGATGAGCATGGCTGTACCATTCGAGCAGAAATAAGGAAAAAAAACAACTTAAAACATAGTGTTGAAATTTCTATTAGTTAGCCTTGCTTACATGAATTAAAAAAAAAAAAAAAGAAAAAAGTTTTCAGATTTTATACATCTTTTTTTCAACCAGGTACATTTAATTGCAACTAGTAGGCACTCCACCAAAATGCAGTATTTGCAATCCCCATCTCTTTAACTGAGAGAGATTACTTTGGCCTCAGTATTGCTATGTAACAATTTTCCTGCTTCAAAACATGCAGTTCATACATTTTACAGTTTTACTGCCATAGTCGATGCATTCTGGCCCAATACACTCACAGCAGGCGTTGTGAAACCATCGGTATTTGGAAGCTCCCATGGACTCGCAAGAGATCTTGCACTGATGTATTGACATGCAGTCATCAAAATACACCACAGTACACATGTGTTCTAAACCAAGAGGGGGGAAAAAATTTGGTTTAAAAGGTCTTAAAATATTTTTCAAGGTTAATTAAAAATTAATTAAGTGTGCAGCTTTTGAAGTAGGATTGCAAATCGTCATGACTATGAGGCAGAAGGGAAAAAAAGGTGATAGTGAAAGCAAAGAGAAGATGCAGAGAGCCAAGGTACGACCTATCAACTTCGAGTTTTCAGTGTCTACAACTCAACCTGCTGTCTGCTCTCCTGGATTAATTTATTTCTAGAGTCACAGGCAAAAATGGTTTTGGGTTTTGTCCCCCAGTTATGAGGGATACCTTCTAAAGTGTAAGAATGGGCTATGCCAAAATAACAAGCAGGCATGTGTCCTCTGAAGGTAATACCAAGATATCGCTTTCCCAGTTGCCAGCAGTTTCTATATGCTATCATGAAAAACTTCAGGTTTTGAGAAGTTATTTAAAAGCCACCAATACCCACTTACTTAAGTGTAAATGTTCCTCCCCCCGCCCCGACTCCACAATATTCTTCAGCCACATTAAATCACAGAGCTAGAGAATCCTCAACTTGAAACCGCACTCTTTTTTCTTCTTTTTTTAGCAACACCACCAGCTTTACTACTAAGATTAAGAAACCCCTTCTGCATAAGTGTTGACTTTATTCTTCTCACATCCATGCAATTATGGGAAATACTACGAAGTCTGGTGTTGCAACCTCAAACTGGAGCTGAGGCATTCACCACAACTATAAAACAAAAACATCCCTGCCCCATCTACTTCCAATTCTTCAAGCTGACAGATTCTACCAACTTTCTCTTGTGCTGACCAGGTGATTACATCGTAACTTTGTTCATCCTCCAAAGGACCTGATTGTGTCACATTTACCCCCAGCATAACTTGGCACATTTTGGGGAAAAGCACAACTGAAAGCTGTCTGCAAACATAAATGCCTCACTCGCACACATCAGACATATTTGGGAGTGGGAGATATCAAGGGCCTTTCCAGCCTATTACTACTTATGGTGCATGGATCCAGGAGAAACATACTGACCTATATTCCAACGTGGATTAGAAAAATGTAATCCAAACATAAATGGTAAATCAAGACAGCGCTGTTTTTTTTTTTTTTTTAAATTATTATGGAGATATGGAGAAGGGCGAGTAACTGAAGGACTCTCAGAGCAGCATACTTGTTAACCATAGTGTTTATTCCGTCTCTTATCTGTGAGCAAGTCTTGGGAGACAGAAGTACATCAGAACCAGAACCTCTCCTTCAAAATACTGGTGCCCCATAGATTAGCAGCCTCAGTAGTACGCATATCTCATGACAAGCTCTTCAAGTGAGGTCCAAAGGTGAGTTGAGGCCAGCAAGGGTCTCCATCACCATACGAATCATCAGATCTATGCAGTCCGTTTCCCCAGCACCAACAATAGATGCTCACTGTGGTGCCCTTGCTTTTGGGCACATGACAAGGGACAACACAACATACAGGAGAGCACAATGTACCCAACAGCCTTTCTGTGGATGCATCCTCCTCCTTGACATCTGGCATCCCTTCCCGCCCTTTTAAGAATTAACATTTGTTAAAACACGTATGAGGGAACCCTGGCCACTGTCAAACTATTCTACTACTACCTAAACAGCTGCAAGAGGGTCACAGGACATGCTGCCAGCCCACTGAAAGCAAGAGAGTTCAGGCTCTGAACTGATGTACACATCTTGCAGTGCAACAGACAATAAGGATCTTGAAGAGGAAGTGCAGACCCATAGCTGAAGCAGTTTTCTGCTCCCAGAAACGCTGTGGTGTGAGTAAAGCTGCAGTGGTCCAAGAAATCTTGGAGTACTTGAAGTACTGCTGGGAATGACAACAAAGTACACTGCGGCTGTGTAAGTCCTGTCCCATTCTTGGCACTTCTATTTCTATGACTTCTTATAATAAAGCCTGAGGCACAGCCACCAGAGGAAGAGAGTTCTCAGGGAACAAAACCTCTGCCTAAAACCAACCAACAGCTTCAGTAAGGACACTTTATTCACGGAGGGGAGGAGGAAAGAGCAAAACAGAAGCGTATGCTATGGTACCACGTGCAAAGAGCGACCAGCCAGGTATACACTCAAGTGCTCAGCCAAAGCTGAAAAGTGGTAGGAAGATATAGCCACCACAGCCTCAAAGGCAGAATCCACCCAGGGGCCATACAGCAGCTCCATCTTCTTACGGAGAACGCACAAGGACTTGGCAACATTTCATCACCAGTGACAAAAAGCTCAGATTGCCAGGGTCCCAAGAAGGAGCACACACCATCCATTCCCAGGAGGCCCAGACATTCCCAGGTATCTGTCCCCCTCACTCCTCACAGGAGGCTTTCAGTGGAAGGGTAGGGTGTGAGAAAGCAGAGGTGAGTCTCCAGGCAGCATTCCTCCTGAAATCTAAGCATCAGTGAGTATCCCATCAGTCATCCAGTTCAGTACTGGCCTGCAAGCACAGGAACGTTACAGAACATATTCATATTCTTTGTACCCTCTTGCTTAATCCCAATTTACTCCTCTGATACCTTTTTAGTAGTTTTCTTGTCAAGTTTGACCTCAAATGCCATAGATAGAGTCAGTCTTAGAAGGTGTCAGCTGCAGGCACAGAGCCTCTGCCTCAAAACAGGCTAATCCAGAAAGATCTCTTGCTGCAAAATCAGCTTTTGAGATGCCATCTCCACCTGACTGACCTAGTCTCTGGATCAGCTTGAGAAGGCAAAATGACTCACAGTGCTCTCTAGATAGTAGTGGAACAACTCTCTGAAGAAACCAGAGTCCTCTCCAAAGGCTTGCCAGCAGTGCTCACTGCTCTCATGTTGATTGCTGCACTCTGACTTGCAACACTCAAAGGAAAGCCTAAAGTAGGTCAGAAAAGCTTGTCAGGAAAGTTGTGCACGCTCTGAGGTGGGCTAGCTTCTCCCAGCACTTGCAGGCTGGTTTCACACCAGAAAACGACTTGTCCCCTCTGTGTTAGGAGACATCTGTGTTGACCTTCACCTTAACCTCATCTGTGACAGCCTCATCCATGTTAGTACCAGTTCAGAAGTCCTGGAAAAGCCGAGTTCATCAGCTAATGCCTGCTGAAACTTGAAATAAACCTCTTGTGGAAGAAGAGCCTGTGATTTCTACGACATAAAGATCAATGACACCGAACTGAGAGACTGAAGACATCTCTCAGGGGAAAGGAGGCCAGAAAATGAGCAGCACCAGGCCCGTAACCCTGGCAAAACCAGATGACAGCAGTCAGGTCATGTGAGACTGGAGAGACAGGTCTCCTCGACCACTCTCCCAGGACCAAAATGGGAACGAAAACCAGACCTCAACCTTATTAACGTGGCAGCAACAACCAAGGACATTAATCTTGACTGACTGGAGAGCGAAGGTTTATTGGCTTGGGTGCAGGTAGAAATAGGATTAGGTCCTAGAGGACCAGTCCAAAAACGCTGTGGAGAGGATAGACTGTACACGGCAGGCCAGAGCCAGCAGTAGATCTGGCTGATTCCCAGTAGCTCTTGTAAGCAGCTGTAGGACGTTATCTGCGTGTATGCTACCAAAACGATTCCGAAGTCTTCACTCACTCGGAGACCTACCAGGTCTGAACGAGCCAGACTGGCCAGGGTGCACTTTGTTCGTCACGGGACACTCCCGGTCCCGTTCTCAGCAGCCTCTGTGTGCCCATGTAGAGGCTGAATTACTGAAAGCAGCAGAGTTCCTTGTCTCGAGCATTAAATCCCTCTTTATAGGCTGCAGAAACAGAGTCACATGGGGGAAAAAATACATACCTACAGGCTCAGTTGGGATGCAGGAGAGTATTTAAATTGTTTCACAAACCTAATTACACAGTCATCACTTGGCTCCCTCAGTGTAGATAAAAGGATGTTCCTTAGTGCAGTAACAGCTACTGCATTTGCATTTTGCCAATTTTCACACATTAAGGACTACAGAGTACAGGTGCGGGGAGGGAGAAGGATGCAGCAGCATTCTTTTTTATCCAGAACATAAGCTTCTCACCTTTTTCCTCCCCCAATTCATACTCAACGAAGGTTGTGTAGGAGAAAAAACAATCAAGGCTAAATTAAAAATGACCAGAAGAAATGGACTCACATTTCTATCAGGCTTTGCTATCATACTGTCTGTGCTTCAAATAAGATCTGTATTGGTGCACTATGGAGGAATTTAGGAACTCAGAGGAGATAAAACAATTAAGTTCTTGTAAATTAAGGAAAAATGCCTATGTACAAGATGAAAAAAACCTTTTCTAGTTAATGATAAGGTGCTATGTAAGCGCAGCTGTCTGCCGGTCTATTTATCAGTAGCTCCAAAAGTACTTTAAAAAGGTAACTGTCCATCCAGCAGCCATATAATGTTAAGCCAATCAGAGCTTTTAAAAAAACACATTAAAACTAAAAATAAAATCTTCCTGGAGTACCTACAGAGGTAGATGCCACTCTACTGGATTTCTAGCTCTCTTCCACCTGGCTGGCACTGGAAGGGAGCGAAAGTGTGGAGCGGATGCCATCCCCTGTGTCACCAAGCACTGCAAGTCAGAAATCCTTAACGACAACACAGATTTTGTTTCATCAGTTGCCAAAAGATTATCTAGTTCCCCTCTCTCTCTCGCCAACATCCTGTCATCAACTGAAACAATTAAGCTTATTTAAACATCTGAACTCGCAGTTCAGAGCTCTGAGGGTATCAGCTAAACATAAAGCAAAAAGAACAAAGTATAAACGTAGCTCCAGATTAATAATCATCACAATCCTCTCTGAAGTAGCGGCTCAAATGCCAGAAACCACTGATACGAAGCACTACAGCAGCTCCAGCAGCGCACACATACTTTGGCAGCTAAAACGTTGATTAAAAAGTCAATTCACAGAAGGAAAGGGAAGACACTCATTAAGATAATAACGGGGAAGTTCAAGGTCTGGCGGCTGGGTTCGCAGCAGGCTGGGGCGAGAATGGAATGCTTTATATCCCACCGCACCCCATCTCCTCCCGGATTTACAGCCGCCCTCCTGGGGCCAGTGGCTTCGCACCACTCGGGCACAAAGCTCACAGGTTCCTGTGGCTGGTGCTGCTTTTCCTGGCACCCACCCAGAACTGCATCGAGCAAGTCTGGCACCCTGGACCAGCTTACCATTGATCCCTGCATGAACGCGCATTGAAATGAAAATCAGAACTGTGTTACATTATGTGACAAGAGGTATTTATAGGCAGAGCCTTTCCAAATTTTGGGATGTAGTTCAGACAACAGCTCAGAGACTACCATCCCGTTACCAAAATCTACCTCTCATTAGCCTCTCTCCCTTTACAGGCAACGTGACACGCTGCTGCCAGCACACCATGCTGGAGTAAAGCATTTAAGGAGCCACAGAACAACCACAAAATGGAGAAGGCACAGTGCTGTAAAGAAAACATAAAGCATCTGTGTTCCTGCTCACAGGAATACTCTTTCAAATCCCTAAATGTCATGGCCTTGAAGACAACTGCTTAGCGAGTCACCTTAAGGACATCTCCATTTGCAAGATCTGCCCTTAAGCCTAGCAACATGTTTGGGGAGAAGGAAAGGGTAAAGAGATGATCTTTGGTTTCTTCCACAGCAGGCTATGCTCGTATTTACTTCAGCTGAGCACACACACATACTCATGCACAGACTCATCCTCTCTTTCAGTGGTTCTTCTAACACATGCTAACTTGTTAAACCACAGCGACTTAGTTGTGTGACTGAACTTTGCATGGGCAGAAGTCATCAGACTCCATCAGACTCCTGGGCTCCCTCTCTGTGCTCACAAGGCCATTTAGCCCTTGACCTACTAGCCCTCCACCTTTGGGTTACTGCTTCCCCAATCAAAATTATTAAAAACAATGCCACCCCGTGGCTCACACAACATCCAACACAAGAGGTACAATTCCCGTTGTCCTTGCTTCCATCATAATAAACATCGACTGAGGCCAGCAGCCAACTTTTCTTTCCACCTTCTTCTGTTCTCAATGCTCAGATCATCCATGTTTTTATAATCAAACTTTAATATGACTTCTGAAAAAGCAGAGCACTACAAAGTTACCTACATTGTGACCAAGAAAAGAGAGACTCCTCAACAAGTGTATATATTTAGATACTTGAAGTACAGGATGTTGAAAGCCATTTTCTACCTTTTCCAGTTCTTCACTGATTACTAAGATGGAAGAGGCATAGCCAATGATTACAAGAACAGCTCTGATACATATAAGTGCCTACTGAAGCCTGAAAACCAGTGGCATTTGGTAGCCATATATATATATAAAAAACACAAATATAACTGTTGGTTTTGGACTGTCATCATTTCAGTGAAAGCTCTCTTAACCTAATGTCTAATACGTTCTTAGAAATGAAGGAGACTTTTGACTAAGAAAAAAATGCATTGTTATGTATTTAGAATCATAGAATCATTTAGGTTGGAAAAGACCTTTAAGATCATCAAGTCCAACTGCTAACCTAGCACTGCCAAGTCCAATCACTAAACCATGTCCCTAAGCACCACATCTACACCTCTTTTAAATACCTCCAGGGGTGGTGACTCAACCACTTCCCTGGGCAGCCTTGTCCCAGTGCTTGATAATTCTTTCGGTGAAGAAATTTTTCCTAATATCCAATCTAAACCTCCCCTGGCACAACTTGAGGCCATTTCCTCTTGTCCTATTCCTTGATACTTAGGAGAAGAGACCAGTACCCACCTGGCTACAACCTCCTTTCAGGTAGTTGTAGTGAGTGATAAGGTCTCCCCTCAGCCTCCTTTTCTCCAGTCTAAACAACCCCAGTTCCCTCAGCTGCTCCTCATAAGACTTGTGCTCTAGACCCTTCACCAGCTTCGTTGCTGCTCTTTGAGTGCGCTCCAGCACCTCAATGTCTTTCTTATAGTAAGCGGCCCAAAACTGAAGACAGTACTTGAGGTGCAGCCTTGCCAGTGCCAAGTACAGGAGGATGATCACTCCCCTCGTCCTGCTGTGGGGTTTTTTTGTCTGTGTTGTTAAACTCAAAGCTCCTCCACACCCTTGAGATGCGATTCAAATCCCAAATGTAATTCAAAACTATCATTAGCCCATCCTGTTGGTATGGTAGTGAAGGACTGCCAGGGAACAGCCATCTGGGCTGCAGTACCTAAGTACAGTGGGATATATTCAAGATTGTTCCAAGCATAATTTTTTTTCCCAAGTATAATTTACATCTTTCAATACTGTAGTGTTTGCACACAGTGCTTTTTGTGGCTTGCCATTCAACATGGCTTTCTGCATCATTTTCATAATGGTGAGCAAGCGTTTTAGTAATGTCAAAGACATATGAATGAGATGCTTTCTGACCATCTGGTTTCCCAGTTCTGGAATTAATTTATTTTTTTCTAATGTGACTTAACCAAAGGAAATTAGAAAAGTTGCCATTACGGTCCCATTTAATCAACAGCAGTCCTACTCAGAAACATAACTAGGTCAAAGGTTCACAATGGTATGGAAAAGCAGTGTGTCCATCAATTAGGGTATCTTTCATGGATAAGATAAAAGAGCCATCACAACAGTAACATATGGGGTTATGAATACTTAAAGTGTGTGTTGGAAAGGAAGTAAAGCATTAATTGCACTAATAAAACAAATCAGATGCTCTTTTTTCCCTGTTAAGCAGCAATTTCACTATGAACTGTTTATGAGATTCTTTTAAGTCTGATGTAATAATTTGCAGGGAAAAGTATTTCAGGTTTAGTATGGAAACCAAGAAGCAGAGAGCATTTTTCTTATGCCACTATTGTCACCATCTCGAACTTCTCAACTTCCCCCACCCCCAGCAAACAATATTCTGAAGTCTGCCCTCTAAACTGAAGGTGAGAATATTAAAAACTTGATATAAAATAAGAGGAATGAACCTGTAAGTTGAATCCCTGCCCCCAAATTGCTTATTTTTAAGATTGTCTGTCACGTATCGCTCCTCAACATAAAGAGCAATCTTGCTATTTTTACTCAGGTTTACTATTAATCCTGGATTTCCTACAAACCATCCTTCTAAAGAGTTCAAGCTATGCCAGCCCAGACAAAAGAAACAAACATCTACTCCAGATACAGTGGTTTATGGCACATGGCTTTCTCAAACCTCTGAAGTCATGTGTTTCAGTCGCCTACCTCTGCACTGATATGTGACTTGGATTCAGTTTTTGGTCTGTCCTGTCTCCTAAGCTACAGGTAACTGCTTCAAAGAACATACTGTGCAAGTGCACGTGAAATAACATCAACAAACTGCCTCACGTCACCAGAGGAATTATAGAGATAACAAACTCATGTGGTTCAGCATCTCCAAAGATCATCAGACACTAACAGCATTTTCCATGTTCCTCGATACTTTTGCCTCACTCTTTTCATTATGTCATGCTCAAAATTAGACTGAACTTTTCTCACTTTTTATGGGAAAAGAAGAAGCAAGCACAGACAAGAATAGAATTTACACTGAGAAGGCTCCTGGAAAAGAGGAGAGGAAACACTAAGGAATTTATACACTACACTCATTACCTTTGTCACTAGAGTAAGGTGCGTGGACATTGTTGCTTGGAACAGAGACGTTCTGATGCTGTGGCTGGTTCACTGTTTCTAAAAAGGAAACGAGGTTCTCGTGGTGCGACAGTTCTTCTGCCACAGGGAAGGAAACGATATTCCAGTTCAGCTGAGTGTCCCCTTCTGTCAGTGCGCGGAAAAGTGAAGGAATTGGTTCATGCAACTCCTCAACAGTGCTCTTGGATGTTGGAGGTGTGTCACTGTAATTGCGAGGATTGCACATACCTACAGAGGAATGAAACAGTAAGTCACATGAAACTCCCTAAACTCTTCTCCTTGAAACAGATGGGAATATTTAGAAAATTAAATTTGAGGTTTTTTGCTAAGCAGAACAGAGCCCTTTCATATATATCCCACTCAGCTCCACAGCAGAAGTGCCACCAAAAACAGCAGGACAATTTTTCCGTAATGGTAGGTTTCAGATCTCTGCAGACTTCCACAAAACATGCCTGTGACTTGTGAGATCTAAATGAAAAGAAAAACCTCATCTACACAGCAGTTTGCTTCCTTTTTTATGCTAGCATTACAGTTTAGAATATGAAGAGTTCAATGAAAAGTTTGTTTCCCCAGGGAAAAGAGACAAAGCGCAGTATAATCGATACTAGCATAAATCTGGAATGAAAGCTTATGGCTGAACGAAGATAGTATCTTTGACAAGTCCTGAGGTACACGACACTTTTGATCACAATTCAAGTATTCGATTTCACCCACTGCAGCAGAGCAATAGATCTTTTTAGTCGTCTGCCAGAGATGCCAAGATCATTATCAGGAGGGAGCAAGAGTCTAAATTACTTTACCTGCTTAGAAACAGCCGAGATGAACCTCATTTTGCTACCTAATTGGAGGGGCCACTACAGGCAGAATGTTTATTTCCAGATTACCTCTTCCTTATTTTTCAAGGTCTTTTGTAGTATCTTTTTTTAAAATCTTGTAATCTTTTTTCTCTTTGCCACTTCCTACAAAATGTTTCTGTGATATGCAATGCAGGTGCCAGTTTTCCATTAACCATTTAAATGCAAACATTTATTACTAGCAATGAAACTGAAGGGTATCTTGGATTTAATCTGAACATTGAAACAACCAAGATTAAAAAGAAAAGTTGTATCTGCATAGGTATTTAAACTCAGAAGTATTTAAACACTATTAGAAGTCACCTGGCAAGAGACGGACAAATCCATTTTCCTCATGTACATCTGGATATAATTTTGGGTAGTTTCACAGACACAGTTTTAGACAGCTACAGCTGCAAAGCACACCAATCCTTAAAGTATCAAAGGGATATGGGACATAAATATTCAAAGTCTACCTGCCCCACGCAACCAGAGAAGCATCTGCTGCCCTGCAGATACATCAGGACTCCAGCTTCAGAAATTGGGTTTAACTAGAGCCTTCCACAAAACCACAATCTTTTCAATCTAAATAGATGGATTTCCATAACGAACAAAACAGAGTGAAGTTCATCCATGATGAATAGCATGAGATCCAGCAAATCTTAAGCAAGTGGTTAGCATTACCAGCGTTTAATAATAGGAACAACACAAGATAGTCTGCTCCTATAAAAAGGTGAGCGAAGTATTGGATAGGAAAATTAAAAAAAAGCCTCTCTTCCAAACAACATTAGGTCACACTAAAAAATAATTCCACTTACACAAAGTTCCTACCGTAAACAATCATTTTCCTACTCCTCTCAACTAGGTTTGTTCTTCACACATGTTCCTGGACTCACTGCTTTAATAAAAAATTTCTATCCCTGCATTATCACCTTGGAATATTCATCATACAATTGTAATAAAGGATGCCCACCTGAAAATTAATTAGGAAGATATCAAATCAGGTAAGAGTTTTCTACAAATACATCGAGAGATGCATACTTTAGTCAGTATCATTGTATTAATGTTGTGAAATGGAAACCAGTGAGCCTTCCTAGAAGCCCCTGTCAGATTGGATTCAGAAAATAAATTTCACTCATGTGAAAGGACACACAGGACAAAAATAACATCAAGATTTTTTATTAAATTATTGCAAAATGTGTAGAAGTTTCTGTGCGTATCAATGCAGTATGAAAATATTATCTTAAGATGGTACCAAGAAACCATTGCTCATAGTTTAATGGGTAACTGCTCATTTCACAAAGATACTTCCCTCTTACTATTTTAAAAAGTATTTTAATTATAATTATAATA